GTATTCTTGACCACAACGCTCGTAGAAAAGTGTCCAGGCGACGACTGCTCAACGCTCGCCTCAGCAAAAGAGAACGTCGTGTACGACAATCCGAACCCAAAGGGGAAATGAATCTTATCCGCAGCGATACGATCGTAGTGTCTGTAGCCCACAAAAACGCCTTCTTCGTACTTGACAGTAAGCTGCCCCGTTTCGTCGCGCGTACCAGGGAAATGGCCATGCGCAGGCGCGTCTTCGATGCGTTTAGGCCATGAAATGGGTAAGTGGCCAGAAGGGTTCACGGCACCAGATATAACATCAGCAATGGCGTTTCCGGCTTCTTGACCCGGGAACCAGGCTTGAATGAGTGCGGAGACGTTGTCGAGCCAGGGAAGGGCGACAGCTACACCGGTCGAGTTTACGACAATGGTTCGCGGGTTTACGGATGCGACGGTTTCGACGAGCTTGTCTTGGGAGCCTTCGCGGGGCAGGTGGAAGCCGACTTGATCTTGGCCTTCGGTTTCCCAGACGGGGGTGTGGCCTGTGAAGACGATGGCTATGTCGCATTCTTCTGCGAGGGCTTTGGCTTCCGCGGCCATGTCGAGATCGTGCTCGGAGGCGTACATGAAGCCTAGTCTGAATCCGGGGAGACCGGCGAGAATGTCTCCTTTTGAGTCGCCCGCGGGCGGCTTGGAGTGGACCTGGATTTCGCAGGGCTTGCCTGCTGTGAATGGGACGCGGAACTCTTTTTCGGGGTTGCCGCCGAAGAGGAAGCCCATGGCATCTGGTGAATTGTGCTTTTGCTCGTAGACGAGCTCGCCGTTTACGTGGACGACTGTGGGGCCGATGCCAGAGCATCCCAAGTAGTGTGAGCCAGATTCGCTGGGAGTAAAGACGGTGGTAAACCTGACTTCGCTGTCCTTGGCACTCTGTTCGAGCAGTGGCGAAAATGCCGCTTCTTTGTAGCCATGCTTTGTCTTGATGGGTTTACTGGTGTTGCCCTGGTTGAAGAGTTCCATTTTCCAACCGTCTTTCCCCTCAAGATCTTTGCAGCCTTTTGACAGGGGTGGGATGAGTCGATACGTGGCGGCTCCCTTGGCGAACTTGAATGCCACGTCGTTTCCGTATGCGGCTTTGAGGCCTTCTTCGGGAGTGATGCGGTAGTGGGCGTTCAACGAAGCACTTCCGCCACCATGGATCAGAGCCTCCTTAGCCAGACCAAACAGCCCGATCGTCTTACCCTTGACCTCTTCCTTCCTGAGCGGCAAGACACCGTCATTCTTTAGTAGAGTAATGCCCTGTCCAGCAACATCCCGAATGAGTTTGCTATGTTTCGGGTCGACGATGGACTGCTCAGGCGGAATCTCCGGGTTCTCGAACGCGCCGACCTTCTCGATAAGATTCAGGACATTTCTCGCTCGCTCAGTGATGGTGGTTTCGGTGACATGGCCCTTCTTGACAGCCTCAAGGACAGCATCGGTACTGCGCCACCTCGTGGGACCAGGCATTTCTAGATCTAAGCCAGCGTTCAGCGAGTCGGCCGTGGAATTGGTACCACCCCAGTCGCTCATGACAAGTCCTTCCCACCCCCATTCACCACGCAAGACTTGCTTGAGCAGGAACTCGTTTGAATCCGCATGCGTTCCGTTGACTTTGTTGTAAGATGTCATCACAGCGAGGGGATTTGCTTCCTTGATGGTGATCTCAAAGGGCTTCATGTAGATTTCCCTCAGCGCACGCTCAGACACAATCTCGTTGACCTTCAGGCGATCCGTCTCCTGCTCGTTGGCTACAAAGTGCTTGATGGTCGCTGCGATACCTTTCTCTTGTAGCCCGCTGACCACATTGGCGGCCATCTTGCCAGCAAGATACGGATCTTCGGAGAAGGATTCAAAGTTGCGGCCACCGAGGGGATGTCTATGGTTGCACATGGTGGGCGCCAGACTGAGGTTTCATTAGCAGTTGATATGCGCGTCGTACATCAGCAGACATACAGCACTCGCGCACTCTTCGTCTTAGTCTCTTCAGCCAACGCATGGCCTATATGCTTTGCATTCTCAGGATTCCATGTCGCGGCTGAACATACGGCAGCAGGGAAACATGCAGCTCGCGTTCCTCCTGTGAACACTTCGCCACGTGCACCGTTCGGTCCATCGCTAGTCTACTGCGCGTCAGTCACTGTAAAGTAAGTCCAAAGTTGCAGAGCAAAGTCCTACCTTGATAGCAGGGACGCCCTTATCCGGTACAGGTACAGTTTCCCAAAAGTCCTTCCCAGCAAGCAGCGATATCTTCTCTTCCAGCGTCAGAGACTGGAGGACAGTCTCAACTTTCGAACCCATCTCAGCAGTGTCGTAGAGGAGCAATTGCCCAAGAAAACTCAACAAAGGTGTGAAATGTACCACGCGCTACCGTCTATTCGCCCGTAGTGACAGATATACTCAACAAAAAGGACCTTGCAACAAAAAGGGTATCACCGCTCTACACATCCCCCCTCCACCGCGCACGACCCTCGATATAAGTACTCCAACGCCGCTCCTCCGCGCTCGCCTCCAATCCCACACCGGAATCCTGACCGTCTCTCCGGGAAAAGCACACCATTGTCGACCGCATCGGTGCATCTCGAGACGCTTTCGGGTGGAGAATTGGGGGAACACATTCGCGCATCATTGGCGCGTCTCGAGATCTACCGTAGTGGCACTCGTAAGCGTGCCGAGGTTTTGCCATGGCGGACGGCTTGATCGTGCTCTGATTCGTACCTTTCCCGTTGGCGAGCCGTCGGCAGCGCTTTCGCCGAGGTTTAGCCGCGAGGGTAGGCTCGGAGTTTACCCACAAGACGTCAGATGATACGTGGGATGTCGTTTAAGTACGAACAGGCCTGTGTTGTACGAGTGATGAGTAAACGTTTGAGGTCGGTGAACACACTGGACGTTCGATGGTAGACTGCTGATGGTGTTGCTGGTTGCTGGTAACGCTGCTTGCTGAGTCAGATCTCGATGCGGCAAACTTCCGAGGCTCAAACGGCAGTCGCAGGGGGACCCACGTTGGCTTGGCTGGCGCCGCTGTGGTGCCAGGTGAAGCTTTTTGAGAAAACTATACGTCATGTTGTGTTTCTGATGGCATTGCATTTCTCTACAGCCTCAAAACTTCTCTGCAAGACGACCGTCCGATATCCCACCTAATTCGGCATTTCCAGGTGTTGATTTCTTGTACATTTAACCGCTTTTGAGGCGCACAACATGGCTGTTTCGTCGAAGAAATCTGGGGAAGTCGAGCCCACGGCGAGCCGGCGGCATCCGCTTCAGCGATTTGACTCTCCTTCCAAGGGATTTTCGGGCGCGTTGCACGTAAGTGACAGAGAACATTGGAAAGCGTTAGACAAGGCCAAATGTTGACGAGTATTTGTATTTACAGGTTGCTGGTCTGATTAGCTTCTACAGTTCCTTCAAGTTGTATGTCTGACTCCCGCCAACTTTGCAACCAGCTAACATGAGTCCAGCTTGATTGATAACCCAAATGTCTTTGTATGTACAGACCATTCTCGAAAACGTATCTTCACATGCCATAATAGCTGTTGCACACAAAATCTCAATTCTCACCACCCTTCCACCCACGCTCTAACAAACAATCCCAGAACTCATCATTCGGCTGGCACCTCCAATTCCTAACCATAATCGGCCTCTCCCTTTCAACAATAACCTTCCTCTTCGGCCTCATCGCAGACCTGACCTCCACCGCCCTCTCCGCCTCTTCGACGCTCCCCTCAAACCCGCCAGCCGTCGCCCTCTCAGACCACCTATTCCGGCTAAAGAACTACCTCGCGCTCGTAGCAGCGCCGATTGAAGCCACCATCAGCATTCTGTACTGGACGTTGAAGGCTATTGATGGGAAGCTTTTGGTGCAGCCGTATGTTGTCTCATTCTCACTCTTTATTTTTGAGGGTTGATGTTGTTCCCGTGACGTTCGTTTTTGCTAACGGGAGGTTGATAGGGATATACCGCTACCACCAGCAATCTACGACATAGGATTCCATCTCGTTCCTGCTGTTGTCTTGGCCTTGGATTACATACTACTTTCGCCGCCATGGCCTACCACGCCGATGAATGAGTCTGCGCCTATGATCACACTCGCTCTCTCCACTATCACTGCGTTTACATATTGGATCTGGATTGTAAGATTATCCATTCTCAAAACGCTCAAGTACACTCATCTAACCACACACACCATCTTCTAGGAAATCTGCTTTTTGCAGAATGGCTTCTACCCTTATCCCATCTTTGCGATGCTCACGACGAATCAGCGAATCGGGTTGTTCGTTGTGAGTGGCGTGATTATGTGGGTGGTAGGTGGGTTGTTGAGGGTGCTGTATGCGAGGATTAATGGCTATGAGAGTGTGGAGCATTTGGAGAAGGTACGACGGAACAAGGTCATGGGCGGTAGTGGAAAGTGGGAGTAAGAAAGGAAAGGTACGAAGAGTGGTATATGACTAGATGATGTTATGATGTGTAGGAGGTATGGAAGCATGACATGAGATCGGACGATGTAGACAGGAACATTGCAGGTGGGTATTAGAGTGGCGGTGGAGTCATGGATAAGATCCAGAGGTTATGAGTTACGCGAACGGAAGACAACAAATTCTCTATATTAAACATGTAAAGGAGAAAACAGCTATACTGTACATGCCCACCAGCTTCTTACCAGCAATCACATGCTCGCAGGCAAAGTGCACAGTAGAGTAAGGCATAGAAATGAAAAGAACATGCCTGAGTATCTGTCCAGCGATCCCCATAGCGCGCCTCTCGGAAGATGTCGCAGTAAATGATGTCGTATGTCGCTACTTGTCGCAGCGTATGTAATATATCACCGTGTAGAAAATATGGACCAGAATGAAACGCAGGAAAGTAAGTCGCATGCATAAGTCGGTAGATGGAACGAGCGTGAACAGTCGGGTATCTGCTACAGCACGGTGGCGCCGAGCGTAGGTGTCGCGTTGGGAATGGAATGAGAGCACAGTGTCCAAGCGCTTAGCTTGTAGACGGCGAAGGTGGAGCTGTGATGGTACGTTGGTCATCGTCATCTTGGTCCTGTTGCTGGTAGGCGCTTGCAGTGTTGTAGAGATGGCTGGTGTACTGGAAGGCCTGTTGATCAGGCCCAATGCCGTAGGAGTAGGTGGGATACTGGTAGGCGTTGTTCTGGTGGCCATGAAAGTTACCATAAGCCGTTTGATGGAACGAAGGTAGAACATTCTCCTTGTTATCATACTGGAACGGGTCGTTGAATGGTTTGTAAGAGTTGAATGCAGGTGCAGGAGATGGAGATGCTTGGTGAGTGAAGCCAGATGTAAGATAGTTCATGCCATTGGGCTGCGAGAATGGAACGTCATCCTCGTCTTGGTAAACGTCAAACTGCTTCCGCTTCGGAGCACGGTTGTTGCGGCTATTGTCGTAGCCAGGACGGCCGCGATCATCATCGTATTGGTTGCGGCTGAGAATAGGAAATACGGGCCGCTTGGACTGTCTAGTAGAGCGGCGAGTAGTGTTTGCATCAAGACTGGCGAGTGCAGGTCGCCGACGTACAGGTTGGGGGCTCTCAGTCTTGATCTCGACCTCATCCTCTTCGTCAGACTCCGAGCACGAGATCCTGCGCTGGCGTTTGAAAGATCCCAACGGTGTGAAGATGAGCTCAGTTGCTTCGACTACTTGGGAGTTGAGCTCCAGCTGTTCGACGACAGAGCTGTCCTTCTTTTGGTTCCTCTTGCGCCGCATCTCTGGGGTAGCAGAGTCGAAGATGTCCATGCCAGGCCAGTAGACGCCTTTGAGTTTGGTCGACTCGCTGACAGCCATCGGATCCGCAACCTCAGCAGGTTCATCTTCAATGGCACACGAAGCCGCAGCGTTGTACCGGTATGACCTCCGACGCTGCTCGCTCGGATCGGAGTATTCACTGGAAGTATCATAGTCTGGGTTTGTATAGCTGCGAGAGCTGGCGCGAGACTCTGTAGGCCAGTACTGCATATGAGGTGCGAAGGTATTGCGGTTGCGGAGGACCGGGCCGTGAGGTTGCGGCGTCGGAGAAGGTGACTGCTCTAGCTTGATCATTGTGTGCTGCTGCTCCGACAGGCGTGGATCAAGGAGAGCGCTTGCGGCGGCGCGACGTAGAGGACGTGGCGCGGGGGCCTCGATCTTGACCGGAGGCGTCGGCCGGGCTGCATCAGATGGAGTCAGTATCAGTCTCAAGTACAATCAGATGCAGGAGGTAGATGTACCAGCGGGTCTCGCGCGGGTACGGCGTTTGTCCTTCTGGTTCATCCGGTCCGACATAAGCTCTTCGACAGCCCATTCGGCATACCACTGGTCGTACGTCTCAATGAGCCGGCGGGATGCATCCTCGTTGGTGGAGCGGACCTTGACCTTGTAGTAGTTGGATAAGTGGCCTTTGCTGGCGATGTGGGTGAGTAGATGCGAGACATCGCTGAAGTTTGGCTTCTTGGGGCAAATGTTGCAGTGCAGCGGAATGTTGGCCATGCCGAAAGCCTGACGAGGCTGCACTGTGTCAAGGTGAAAGCTGCAGTGTGGATGCGGTGTTTGTAAGGAGCGTAAGTGAAACAAGCACAAGAGCAGCGCAGTAGTGAAAGCAAAGAGCGTTGCGAAAGGAGCGGACTGAAGGTGGAGAAGGCGAAGTGACGGTGGGAGAGGTGCTCATGAGAGACCTAGTACAGAGATGGCTGCCGGTCACCGCGGTAGCTCCTAGCCCATTTCCTGAGCGAATAAATGGAAAGCAGGAGAGACGCCAGCACTGGTAAGGAGGAGAGAGGCAGGTGCAGTATCGCAGTGGAGGAATTGCAGCAAGAAGAGGTCTGTTGGTGGTGTTCTAGCAGGCAGAGCACGTGGAGGCTCGGCACTGACGAAAGAGGAAGCCACCCTCACTTTCCTCCCGCTTTGTGTCTCGACGCCTTTGAGAGAGACGCGAGGTATTAGATAGCGGGAATACAGGCTTGAACGAATAATACACAGATACGAATGCAAGTGAATGGTCATGAAATCTACAGGCGCGAGACGACACAACTAGCATTTGTTGATGGCATTCTCGCTTACTTACCTAAGCATCTACGGGTGACTGAGCGAGGCATGCAGCTGCGCGTTGGTTAGTATACGCGTTGAAATGCGAGAGCAGTGGTCACATACTACACAGGGTCTACTTCTTCCAGACCGGGATACTTCAGCAGACTGAGACCAGCAATTCCAAAGACGGTGTGGAAGACGTCAACCATGTCGCCAGGTCGGTCTGCGAGACCACCCAGATCCGGGTCCTATTGTTCATGGTCAGATGGCGATGATGCTGAAGAGAGGACACTACCCACCTGGCACTGCAGGATGAAGCTCGTCAATTTCTGACCGTCTATCCAGTGCAGCTTGTCTAGCATAGCCATGCTGCTCATGACCCACCAGCTGTAGCAGACATCTTCCTTCTTCTCTGGTCGGCCGTTGAGGCCTCCGTTCTTGAGCTGTCGTTCGCTTAGCCAGGCGCCCAACTTTTCTTGGTTGACAAGGTCGAGTCTCCCCGCGATGGTCAGTGCGCCAACACACGTGAACACCTGACCAGAGTGCGACTCGGCCCCGGGGCTGGTACCGTATCCGCCGTCAAAGTTGGCGCACGAGTTGACGTATTGAGCGGCCTTGTCGACATCTACGAGTTCAAGCAGGCCCATGAGAGACAGGGCGTTTAGGGCGCCGTAGAGAAAGCGGGTATCCTGCTCGCCCCACTCATCGCCTGCAAAGGTGCCCGTCTCGCGATCTTGCAAATCGGCGATGACTACCTTTATGAGTAGACTATCACGGCGAAGCTGCAGATGACTTACATTTTGCAATTTTCAGGCGGGCGCCGGGTATGCGCTCTTCAAGCTCACCGAAAGCGTCAAGCGTCGCGAGTATCTGCACGCCACTAACGGTATAGAGCATATGGGCATCATGGCCCGGCGCAGCACCGAGGCCGCCATTATCATGCAGACACGAGATGACAAAGTCGAGGATGGGAGCGCGTGGAAGGGCGTCTGGGCGGCCCAGGAGATGCAGGGCCGTCAGTCCCCAGTAGAGGCCGTTGAGGCGCAGATGTTCGGTGAGCCAGTACTCGAGCTCATCTTTGCGCTGCAGCGGGTCAGCGCGGGATTGGATGGCCGGGAGCTTGCGCGGCCGCTGGGACTGGGGACGGGCTACGCACAGTGTCGAGGCTCTGGATGTAGGCGACGTGCCTGTCGACGAAGAGGTGCATCTCGCTGGGCAGGCTGGCCATCCCAGCAGCGCGCCCGGGCCCGGAAACGAGAGACATGTTAGACGGGTGTCAGATGTGGGAGGAGTTGGTGGGAGCTGGCGGCGCGGGAGGGTCTAGTCGAGGCAGCATGGATGGCGCCGACAGGGTCTCATAATTTCTGAAACGAGACTTGGCACATGAAGCATTTCGGTCTGGCAGCCGCGACAGCCTCGCACTCGCAACAATGACGATGCAGAGGGTGCTCCTGTGCAGCGTCGATAGTCTGCCGTCGATAGTCCGTCGCCTGGCGGTGAGCACACATGCATGTTACTTAGGTAGACCGCACTACGCCCGCCGTGGACGGCCGTTTGCGATAGCGCTGGTGGGCCGAATTGGGGGGTGCAGGTGGTGGCAGCGTCGCGCCCTCGTACTGTACCTGGGGCCGTGCACCGTGCTGAAGTCGTTGCCGCCATCCTCTCGCAGCCCTTGGTGCCCTTTGCTCTTGATTGCAGCAGAGCCTGTCTGTGCCTTGGGCCCCTCCATCGCACTCACCACAGAGACACGTGAATTGTGTCCTTTTGCTGACCAAGGCGCCGCTCACCGCACTCCACGCAACGGCCGCCCAGCCTGCGCTCCACGCTCCACTCGCTCCCTTCACCCCAGCGCCTCTCCCTCGTCGCGGCGCCCCGTAGACCCCTCGAGTCCTGTGTGTGAAAGTGGGTGAGTAATGCCCAACCACGGCGCTGCGACACCTCGCTCGCCGCTGCCACTCGTGCCCTCGCCATGTTGTACCACCGTCAACACTCGCCATAGCGCCGCCGGCCCCTTTCACGTTCCGCAGCGCTTGCTGACCACATCCCAGACGTTGCATGACCGCCTCACCTGCCCGCGACCGCCATACTCGACGACCTCTGTGCCCGCCAAAGACTGCCGTAGCACGCGCTCGGCATCGCCTGTCCTCCCGGCTTGCTGCATGGGAGCAACGTCCTGCCGGCGGTGATATAGACTCGACACCCGCTGCCGACGCTTCGAGGCACGCCCGCAGCCAGCGCCGACCAGGCTCTCACGGTTCGTACCACCCCGCGCGCCGTCTAATACCTCCCGCTGGCTTTCACCCCTCTGCGCCAGCCATGAGTCCGCTGCTGACAGTCATGAAATACAGACTCGTTGACCGCGCAACCGCCCATGTGCCGCAACCACTGAGCCTGCCACCGCTCCCTTCTCTCCACGCGCCGCACCGTCTATTCACACCCTCGCTCGACTGCCTGCACATCGGCGCCCTCGTCCCACCAACACCCATCGAGGTATTGCGGCCCTCGACCTGCACGCTTGGCAGCAGCCATTGCTTTTTAAGGGAGCCGTGCTAAGGAGTCAGTAGCCCTGCGACCCTCCACGGAAAACAATACGAAAGATGCCCAAGTCCTCGACACTGTCGCTGGCTATGCGGGGCAAGCCAAAGAACAAGGACGACGCCAACGGCCCTATGAGCCCCAAGAGTCCGAGGTCGCCAGATATGCCTGAGGACCTCGACTATGCCGCTCCCAATGCCTCGTTTCATAGCATGCCACAGTCACCAGCCTCACCGAAGCCTCGCAAGGACTCCAAGAGCATCTTCTCCAACTTCAGCGCCAACAAATCGTCGTCACGCCTTAACAGCCAGGGGAACTCGATACGGCAGCTTCCTGAACAACAACACTCGCCCAGTCTATACTCCAACGGGCGCAGCGGGGCTTCAACACCAGACCTCGGCCGCCCCGTGCGCACCCCCAACTCGGATGGTATGGCTACAGTAGCCCAGACAAACAGCGTGTCGCTAACTGCCACAGACAACCGCTCCGAGGTTTTACGGACAGGCTCAGGCAACTCCAACGACTCCTCCGATCCCCACGCCGACTCCTCAAAGCGCAACACTATCAAACCGAAGAAGGGCATTCTGAACAGGTCGAAATCCATCAAAGACGGCGAGAGCTCAGGTACCCGTGCAAAACTGAACAAGGCGCCGCCAGGGCAACTGTCACCAGATATTGGAGGTTCGTGGACGACGAATGGTGATGGGCCGCCATTGAAGCCGGCACCCATGGACAAAGGTCAATCTTGGCGAGGCATAGGCAAGCCACGAACACACTCGGCAGATCGTCAGGATAGCTCCAAGCAGATTCCACGGGATGTCGACAATGGGCCACGAAGAGACAAGTCGGAGCAGATATCGCTAGCCTCCAGCTCGTACAACGAGACCAAGGGACACGGCTTCATCTCGAAACTTGGTTCAGGTGCTCGCAACATGGGGGAGAAGATGGACTCTGCCCGCAAGGGCGTATTCGGCAAACTTGGACGAAGCTCAAGCAACCACGAGAGCCAGACGCCGATATCGAATGAACCTTACGTGTGCAAAATCATTCACAAGCCCCTGATCGAACAGACGAGGCTGACACGGATATCGACCCGTTTGGAACAGTCACGCGACAAGACTGAGTTCTGGATGCCAGCTTTACCTTGGCGGTGCATAGAGTAGGTCATGCTTCGATTCGTTCTCCACCTGTGAGGCTAATAACCACTTTAGCTACCTGAACATGCGGGGCTGTGAAGAGGAAGGCTTGTACCGCGTTCCTGGGTCAGCCCAGCAGGTCCGATATTACGAACGCAAATTCGATGAAGGTAGGACTATCTCCTTTATTTCCACGACAATTGCTCACCAAGCCACAGACCGAGACATCGACTTGATCAGCGATCCCAACCTGAACGACCCTAACGTCATCGGCTCACTCTTCAAGAACTGGCTCCGACAACTGCCAGATGAAATCTTTCCAAAAGCGGTCCAGACGGCAATCCAGCAAGAATGCCAGGGCGCCAAGACGACGCCGCAAATGCTCAAGGATGAGCTCTCCAAGCTCCCACCATTTAACTACTACCTATTGTTCGCGATTACCTGCCACATCAGCCTGTTGCACTCATGTTCCGAATTCAACAAGATGAACTACAACAACCTGTGCATCTGTTTCCAGCCGGCTATCAAGATCGACGCCTTTTGCTTCCAATTCCTTATTCTGGACTGGCGAAACTGCTGGCAGGGTTGTTGGACAGAGAAGGACTTTTTGACAGACGAAATCAACTTCCTGAACCATGTACAAGAAGTTGAGTCCCAGCAACAGCAGCAACAACAAGAACAGCAACAGCAGCAACAAGTACAGCACCACCTACAGCAACAACAACAGACTCCATCCAGAAACGGCCCACCTCAAAGCGCTGGGAGAAGCAAAGGCACGAACTCGCCCCAGGT